GGCCCCTCCCAGCCTCCCCGGCCCCTCAGGGAGCGGCGGCGCCGGGCGGGAGCCCCGAGGGCGGAATCAGGGAGGGAGGGGAGGCTCCCACCGAGCCCATCCCGGAGCGATCCCGACCCAGCCGTGGGCATTCCCGGTGTGCACCTTCGGAATTCTCCGAGTGCGGCCTGAAAGGGGCGGATTTCAGCCAAAGCATGGAGCGGGACGGAGCCCGGGATGGGCGGCGGGGCCACATCGGCAGGAGTTCGGGAATTGTGAGGAATTGGAAACGACTGTAAAGCGGCGCTCCCTGGCCCAGGGGGTGCTCAGGTGCAGGGAAAGGGGAAAGGCTGGGATGGGCAGGGGGATGGGTGGCGCACACGGATCCCCTTGGAACACGTTAAGTGTTGAAATATATTCTTGATATAAAATTATTCCCCGGGAACTGCCTTTCATACCTGCAAAGGCCCCACAAGCGGGTCTGAAACAGAGAGAGACCTTTTCCATACTCTGTTTGGTTCAATCAAACTTTATTTTTTGTGGAAAAAGCACGCTCACCTCTGGAAATAGAGGGATATCCAGAGAATCCCAAAGTGCTTCTGCTAAATCTCATCCCATTCCACCTCTTCATGGGCAGGGACACTACCCAAAACCCAGCTTTCCTTCACTGAATAATGCATAAGTCCTTCTTGTAGTGCAGTGTAGAATAAACCAACAAACCCCATAAATAATAAATAACTTTATTGAAGAATTGCAGTTTCAGATGCTTTTACAGAGCACAACTTGTGCTTTACATTAGAGAACAGTCTTGGCGTAGCAAAGGGATCCGGAGGGAATATTCACCTCTTCTCATTGTCATTTCAAAACCCAGGATGTGCTTGTTTTATTTCACACAAAAATTTGAGTTTTCAGGTGAATTTTCCATTGAACAGCAGCAGCTCTCCAAGATTCCTGCTCAAACCCCAACACAGAAAACACTGCTGCTGTTAATTACTGAGAAGATTGTCTAAGAAATTAATTGCAGAATCCACATTGTCTGCAGTGGACGCAAAATGAGCTCTGACTTTAAGGGGTGTCCAACCCCCCCCGACCCCCACTGCTCATTAAATGGTTCAATTATTGCCATTAATATTGATCACATCAACTTATTGCCACTGATACTTCTCTGATTCAGGAAGAGACCACAAGCAAATAACTGTCCTTCCCTTTTCAGAGCTCAGCAGAAGTACTGCTGATTGAGTTTGCACATTAATAAACATTAATTAAAATTAAATAATCTAGGGAAACTGCAAGATTAAATATGATTTAGAGGCTTTTTGGCCAAACAAATATTACTCTTAATGTACTAAACCCTATTTTATCATACAAACAGTACTTTTAAAGGCTACATTATAATGCAGCCTTGAATTTATGTAAGGCTTTAATGTTATTAATTTATATTATTTAATTTACAGAAATTCTGCTACACCACAGGGATAATTCTGTGTGGTAGAACAGTACAGGGACTGAATACCTGGAATCCCAGGATTTCCCTGCTCTCAGACACTGCTGACTCTTCTAAACTCCTATCAAATGTAGATTTAGGGTCATTCTGCCCTCATCAAAACACAAAGAACACAGAAAGGAGAGGGGTTCCTGTATCCAGGGCTCTTTAAAACACAAGAAATGGTGAAATCATTCCAGTTAAACTCATTTCTCCCATATATTTTTCCCATTAATAACTCCTGGTTGCAGCTGATCTCAGGACACCATTACTACTACAGGATAATTAAAGTAATTAAATACTATAGACAATCCTCAAAATGGAAAATGATGGGCCAAGTCCACAAAAAACAAACAAAGGATCAGGAATACAAAGCTGACAGTTCAGGCATGGGAAATGATGTGCAAGCACAGCTTATTAACATAAAACCTCTGATAAATTGAAAATATTGTAATTTTTCAGTATTTTCTCTCACCTCATGTTACACCAAGGTGAGTGTGTAGGTTCTGTAACCATTTATGACAGGATTTTAAAGGTATAGATAATAATGCTTTAAAGTGTATTCAAGTTCTGTTAACCTAGAAAATCACTAATCATTTCAGCAACCCAAAATAAAGGAAATTTACTTTCTGTGCAACATAAGAGTGGGAAGGAGGAGCTGCAGTACCAGGCTTAGTAAAACCTGAGATTGGTGCAGTTGGAGCAGAACAACTGCAAATCCAAGCTGGTTTTACCAGGATTAGAGAAGTTCCATAAAGTGCTTTTAGGCAGAAAGTTGCTGGGTTTGAATTCACTGAGGAGCTGAGGTTTGAAGGACATTCAGAAGCAGGAGGAGCAAAGGCACAACACAGAACAGAGATTGGTCACAAATCCAGGTATATTTTTATGGACAGGAGCACTGAGCACCATCATCTGCTGCAGGGAATCTCCATCCCAAGGGAATGGGGACAGTTATTTCCTGGAGCCCTTCAGGGGGACTTGAGTTCCTTTCACATTGAGAGCCTCCAAGGAATCCCTGGGCATTCTGGATCCTGGAGCTCCAAGTAGCTTCTCTCTGGAAAAAGAATAACAATGATCTCAATCTCTATGAAAAAAAGGAGGAATAAAACCTGCAGTGTCCCTTGGAACATTGCTCCAGAACTGGATTTTCCTTATCCTGCAGGATAACGGGGAACTATTTTTACCTTCTTGATCCACCTTGTCTGGGACTGTAATGGCCATTTCTGCATCTTGGAGCTTCCACAGCTCCTCTGCTTCTGCAAGGTCTGAACTTCATGATCTCGTTCTGCCACTCCTCATCAAAGGTGTCAGCCTCAGCTGAAAAACAGATACATTTATTTAAAATGTTCATAAAGAGAGGAAAAAAAACATTTAATGAATATTAGGGGGTTTGGGTAGTCATTTTAAACTTCGGAGTCCACAATTCTCCACATGGCCTACAAATGTTTTTGGGGATCTGTAAAAGAGAATTCGGATTTGGAGACTTTCAGTTGAAAAATGCCTTTTAAGATAGCTCAAGCTGGAACTTCCAAATCAGAGTGTGAAACAGTGTAAAGCATAAACTGCCTAAAAAGACCTACATTCATCCAGGTTGATGAATTCTTGGTTCATCTCCTCATCCCCAGTCTTGGAGTTCTTGGATTTTTTGATGACATGAGCCCGATCGTGAATGTGGTGACCAATGGCTATTTTCTCCAGGCCAGTTTCAGAATCCTTCACTGCTTTTCTTGTCTCTTTAACCTGTCAAAAAAAGTGAACTGAGTGTCCTTCCAACTAAAAATGAGGTAGAAGAGTTCACAGAATCCCAGGATGGTTTGGGTTGGAAGGACTTAAAGCCCGTCCAGTGCCATCCCCCTGCAATGGCAGGGACACCTCCCACTGTCCCAGGTGCTCCCAGCCCTGTCCAGCCTGGCCTTGGGCACTGCCAGGGATCCAGGAGCAACCACAGCTCCTCTGGGAGAATTTCCTTCCAATATCCCATCAACCCTTGTCCTGGCACTCCAGGCCCACACAAATGGTTATTTCCTCCCTCAATAGTTTTATATCTTTCCTTTCAAAAAGCCAGGTTTTCCAAGCTTTTCCAATTCTCTCATTTCCTGTGTTGGCTGCAAACACACCAACAACACACAAATCAAGCCTATTTTCTTTTAGCCACCAGAGAGGGAAATGAAACACCACCTGAACTTTTTTAACTGGGTATGAATTATTGGGGAAAACCCCCTCAGTTTCAAAATGCTACAGAGCCAAGTTTCCAACAGAAGGAGCAACACCCGATGCCAAAATTCCCAGAGTGAGGAACAGCCAATTCCTGGGCTGTGGTGTTGACTGGCTTGGAAGCCAGGCTGCCCCTTATCAGTGTCCTGGGCTATTATTAGAAGC